GAAATGGAAGTAATCCCAACAACTATGAAACAAGAGATTCCTCGAAACCCAACTTTTCTTCATATATAGAGTGGAAGTGTTGGGTGAAGAGATTTGAAGGTCAGTTCCACCAGAAGACGACAGTGGATTCCTTTTGACCAGCTGTCGATTGGCTTTACTGGAAGATTCATGCTGAAGCTGTTTCCGAGGCGATCTCCTTCGATTCCAGTGAAAAGGTGCTAAGCTTTCGTCTGTCATATGAAGAACATCATCAGAGTGAGGTATCATCGTCACAACAAAATTCAAGCTAACGAATCAAGAAAACTCACCGGTGACGCAACTAGTCTTTTCTTGTCTTGTTTCTAATCATAGTCACTTATCTGTACTTTTAGCTTACTCTTTCTCTCTTACATTAAGGCTCATCAACAAAACCAGACGTGTGTCCGACCTTTCGCAATCGGAGTGATGGTTATAACATGTATATATAAAGGGGGAGATGGGGATCATCAAACCAACCGAATCTCTTCACCCAACACTTCCACTCGAAATGGAAGTAAGCTCAACAATTATGAAACAAGAGATTCCTTAAACCCAACTTTTCTTCGTATATTTTCAATCTTGCCTTGGTCTTATCTACTCCTCCACTGAGATTCGAACCCCGGAGGTGCAATTATACATAAAAAGTCAACATATATGCTACTTGAACATAGAATCCTTGAAATACACGACTAGAATGGATGTCTAAGCTAAGTAGGCACATCTCAACTTATAATAGAGCATTTATGTTTTTATTTTGGCAAGACAGCCAGGCCTTTATTAATCAACTCAAACTTAACTGAACTATTGTTATTAATCGGTCTGCAAAGTAGCAAATACTAGCTGAATGTCGTTTAGGCTAATGCCTTGACCAATCAATCTACTCCTATAGATAGAGAAGAATATTCTCCTACTCTTCTCCTGCTCTTCTCCTGCTCTTCTCCTTCTCTACTCTTCTTCATATATAGACGAGCGAGGTAATGAGTGCAAGGACAAGCAGCTAACCTCATATGTTCCATATATAAGATCAGTCTGTGGCGTTGGTGACAGGTCAGAAGTCGCTTTGGTGCCTCCGCTAGACGAACCAGAAGTGGTCACTGTAGATGCTGCTGCAGTACCATCTACTCCTACTTCTTCCTCCGTGGTCCCTGCACCATTCTTCCCTATTCTCGCATCGTCTGTCGGCAATGCTTCATCCTTGGTTCCTGTGGCTCCCGCAGCTGCTGCCTCTGACGATGACGGTGGCTGATTGTGTGCCTTAGTCTGTTGTGGCTTAGGCTTGTAGCGAGAAAGGGCAAGCGCATAGATACGAGCCACCCCTCGCAGTGAAGGCATCGTAAATTTTGGTTTCGTGCTCAATCCGGTACCTCCTTTTCCACCAGCTGAGCCAGCAACGACTGCCTGTCCGGCTGTATGACCCGATCGCATTGGATTATGACCCACGCGCAAACCCTGGAAAAGATGGCGGCCGGAGGCCAAAACGTGCGATGATTGTGAATGTTGCTGTTGCGGAAGTTGGTGCCTAGAATTATTGGTAGGAGCTGAACTGAATTGGGGGATATCGGCAAGGGCTGGGGGGATGAGGCAATTGTATAATGGTCCGAGTTGGGGGGTATAAGGACTGGTATCCGGGTATCCGGTACAGGCGGCCAACTCGGCTGACCACGAGGCTTGAAAATCTATAAGGTCTGTCAGGTCGCGTAATGACAAAAAGAGATAGAAATTGCTAGTAATGGAGGGACAATTTAACCATAGAAGCGAGAGTAACCATAGTTATGGGAATGTAAGAAAGATAGGCTGTCTATGTGCAACAATTAAAGACCCAAGAATGTGTGAACAATAACTTCTCTGGAAGCTGTTTGACTTTGTTTTCGCAACTTGGTCAATATTGGCAGGAAGAACTAGAGGAACCCACATAGTCCGGAGTCCATAGTATGCATGATCATTTCCATAGTCGAACCGTGGGCGCGGTACATTCCCAGACGTTTCGCTGGCAGCGTCAGTGAGTCTTGCCAGTCTTAGCACCAAACTACAACTTGTCAAAGAGGCAAGTGAAGCCGATCCTTTGACCAATTGTCTGCTAAACAATCGTGGTATCTCTCTTCTCCTGGGCTTTTGACCAATCCTATGCCCTTGTATCACCCCTTCACTATCACAATTTGTTATTTAAATCTGTTGCGGTGTGACTTCTTAGCGGATTTCATGAGAACTCTACACACCTTACGCTGGCTTTCTCACCCCCTTGCACCCTTGTTCTAGGAATGCCATAGTCTAGTCAAAGCAGGAAGTACCACAACATTGTGGATTGGCACGCAATAGACTATGGCATAGGACGTGATAGAGTTGGTGTTAGGGGTACAAAAAGGCTAAACGAGGCTGGGACTAGAGCAAGTTGGCTGAAAGTAGGCCTGTTTCACCATAGACGTGGTCCATGAAGCAAAGGCTTGACCATGAAAACTACTCTGGGGTTTTAGACTCAAGTTAATCTTCCTGACTAGAGTGTGTGAGATAACACCTCGAGTAGCACAGATCGAGTGGCAGGGGTCGAGTGAAATACTTGAACCAGGGCGATAGCAGACGGTTTCTGCTGGGCAAGAGGGAGACTCCGATAAGACCTATGTAAGGAGGAGCGCGTAACAACAGGGCAACCTCTGATCCACAATCCCAGTACAGGGGTGAAGGGGAGTGAGGGGGTGAGAAAGCCAGCGTGGAGTGTGGAGAGATCCCATGAGATCTGCTCAAAAGGGCACATCATAACACATTTAAATAAGCAAGTAAAATTGAGATAGTGAAAGCGTGATCTCCTTCGTGGGTAGGGGAGATAAATGATTGCTTAGCAGACAATTGGTCTAAGAATCGGCCTCACTTGTCTCTTTGACGAATTGTAGTGTGATGCTAAGGCTGGCGATGCCAACTAAGATGTCGGCGAAAGGGTCTGGGAATGTACCACGTCCACGGTCCAACTGGAAATTATCATGCATGCTATGGACTTCGAACTAGGTGCGTTCCTCCAGTTCCTTCTGCCAATACGATCGAGTTGCGAAAACAAGGTCAAACAACTTATATACGACGAAAGGAGACCGCGACCACAAAAAAGACCACACCATCTTGATCTTCATATTTTCGAATAACCTCTCTGATTTCAATATCTCTATAGTTGTGACAAAAGACTTCAATAGGTTGAGGTAGATGATGCAATTCCGACTCTTTATTCGATAAATATGTATAGATGCTAATTTGAATTGACTGACCTCATATCATTTGACTTTTTCTCATGGAAGAAAAAGTGCCCATTTTATCTCTTGGCCACTCTAGTTCGTAGTCGAATAGACATAGCCTATATCATTAAAGCGAATTAAGGGCCAATCGTCCCAGCTAATACCTATAATAGTTTTTTCATTTGTGTTTTTTAGCCTGGTTTCATAGCTTTGTTTTTGGTAGCACTCCTTAAATGACTTATTTTCTCATGCTGCAACGGCGTAAATATGCCTCCCAGTAGTGCTAATCATCAAATTTGGACATTAGAAAGAATAAATAAGATATACAATAATGACAGACATGTTCAGAGGGGCACAAGAAAATTATTTGGAGTTTCATGCTGCAACTCTATTCGTAATCAAAAACGGTAATCGAATATCTATAGTAACTAGACAAGAGGGTCCTTATGTTACCCATTATAATGCCACTTACAGCAAAGTATTTGCCTTGTTTCATCGCAAGATTTTACTTTTTCATTTTATCAGATGAATGATCTCGGCGTACAGTTTACTTAAAAAAGTTTATTTAATAATTAGGCACAAGTATTCCTGGTCTTTTTAAGATTTATTTGAACACTGATATATTGGCAATAATTAAAATGGGATCAACCAAAGGGGTTGATGTATTGAAAAATGGGCAAATTGGTCAAATCCACCATTGGATAGTAATGCCAAAGTATTTCTATTGGAAATATTATACCCTTACATAAAACTAAGACAAAATGACATTATGGTTAAGTGTAGAGCACCTGGTTATTAAGGGACGCGTTCAGAAGGTGCAGAGAAGCCAAGAAGTCAGTGCAGCGATCAAACAAAAATAAAGCTTATCATAGAAGGAGTATTACTTTTTTAATGTCTCCTACTATATAGGACCCTTGAGAATATAGAAGAATAAGGGGCCACGGTTAGAAATAGAAGAAGTAGTGAAAAATAAGTATTTCACTTTAAGGTGAGATTGAAAAATTGGATGGATGTTGATGAAATCGCGTTTTCAAAAGTATGGTAGGCCATCCCGACCATAAGGTGCATAACAAAGGTGCATCATTTGGAATATTTGAAAGTAATGTAGCAAATTTAAGGCACAGCTTATGATGAAGCTTGCTCGATAATTCAATGAAATTAATTGATGCGAATACCATACTAAAATATATAATAATATATTCACATGGCTGGAACTGTTTAAACTTGAGTAATTGAACTCAACAAGACTTATCGGATAACATTACCACTGAATTAGAAATGAATTAGAGTAAGAATATATCAACTTTTATGATTAGCAATAATGAATTTGAATTAACTAAGCAAATGCATGGAAAGTTAAGTGGAATTGCGGCAATATCATGCTTGACCTATAGATTGGCGAATTAGTTAATGCTATGATAAAAATACTTTGACTCTCAAGTAGGCACATTGA